AAAAAACCAAACCTGTAAACAGTTAAATGTTAGATTCAAAAATGTCTTTGGTACCGTGTTTATCTTTATGTTAGTGGCTGAGCAAGCCTTGATTTTTTTTCCCTTCCCATGATTCCTGGAATGAATGCAGCTCCAAGGACAGCAGATCCTACAATTTTGTTGTCATCTTTTAAATTACGAATCTTGGGAAATAAGGACAGCCCGTGATGATGGACTGTAATTTACCAAAGTTATTCTACCAGTGCTGGCAGCGCCTATTGTGCCTAAATGGGAAGAAACTGATAAGGCTTTTCAGCATTTTAGGGAAAACTCAGGCACTTGGTATTTTTAATTGAAGTGTAAGAAAGGGAAGTGTTGACGGTGACTTCCTCTGGCAAGACGAGGGCCACATCAGGCAGCGTCAGCAGGAAAGGCTGTTGCGAATCAGACACGGCGGTTTTCTGCTTTTGATCTGTTTTTTAACAGAATTTCATTTTCTCGGTTGGCACTTCGATTGTGATGTATTAAGCATATATTCGTAGGTACGAGTATTGTGGTAACAGTCTTTACAAGCATGTCACGATGGGATGAGATTGTGTGGACTTTTAATTATCTTATTTCTGCTGGGGCCATTTGATCTCATCGCTTTCTCTTAGCAACAGCACACAAGCAGATCTCAGTACCAGGCCCGTGCAGCAATGCGTCTGGGGTTGCTCCTCACCAGGAATAGGGAACAGACGGCTCGCAGTCAGTGATTATAATCTCAGTTTTTATGAGATCGATTCCTTTCCCCCCAGGAGCCACCAGAGTTGAGTTCACGCACAGGATCCCAGATGATCACAGCGGCCCTTTGTTTCTCTCAAGTCCACTGTAGCAGGACTAGAAAGCGCGTTTGTGAAGACGCAGAGTCAGGTTGGCTGGGCCTCGGGCAGAGGTTTCCAGTGAGGTCTGTCATCTTGGATGGGGTTTCTGCTTCCAGCTCTGATCCAGATGCTTCTGCTTAAACACTAGCAGAGGCCAAAGGCCACGCCTTGACAAGCCCAAACACTTGATTTTAGGACAGTTCTAAATGTCCTCCCCTGAAAGTTTTTCTACGTAGTGAGCCCTGAAACCTGCCTTGCTGCCACTTCTCCCATGGCCCTAGCATGGCCTCTCTAGGACGGACAGATTAACTGAGGTGGACAGAGTCGTGCAGGTGAGAGCCTTTGGGAGCTCGGGAACTTTGCCTGTGCAGCAGACCCAGCTCATGGAAGGCCTCCTGGCCCGGCAGAGCATTGGGATACTTCATGTCCTGGTCACCCACTGCTCATATTACCCACTGTTCCAGTACCTGGAATAAAGCCCCAGATTTGGGGTAGGATCTGCTAATAGACACACACAGTGGCATAGTGCCTGGTCCCCTATTCTGGGCACTAGAATTCCATTGACGCAGTCTGCCAGTCTTGGCCTTTTCAACCAGGGGGATAACATAGTTGTTTTGTGGCAGGTCTGAAGCTAATCTAAACTCTCTCCACGGGTTTCCCAGCTCAGATTTGTGCGCTGGCTGTGGGGTTGAGAGGGGGCTGTCCCATTAAATGTCACTGCCCAGCACACACAGCAAGATAATTTTGAATACTGGTTTTATCGGACAGGTCACCCAGCAAGGCGCAGCTAATTCAGAAGCTCCCTCTTCTGTTGGGGGAGACCTCTCCCTCCTAGGAGGCCATCGGTATCGACACACGATGATCCGTGTTCTGTTTTCTGTTTTCACCTCCTGGAAATCCTGGACTAGGGACCTGGCCCCTTGGGTCTGCACCTTGCCCTGGGGAGAAAGACCAGGAGGGCCAGATGGGCCCCGGCAAGGTGGCTGCACGTGTCTGCTTCCAGCATGACTTACAGTAACCAGGAAGGACCCTTGCAAGGGCAAAGTGAAGACAAAGCTTGGTGTGGCCCTGACCTCCAGCCCCTGAGAGCTGAGCCACCCAAAGCTCCTGCCCTGCTTGGCACTTGGAGCGGTGCCTCATTTGCCCAGAGTGACACCCAGTGCCTGTGATTCTTTCTTCTGCCAAAGGGCTGTTTTCCCGGCGTTTTGTTTGTGCTCTTTCTTCAGAATCGGACCTCCATGTGGCGCTGAGCCTCCACTGTTAATTTGAAAGCTGGGGTGCAGATACCCCTGCACAGGTTGAGTAGAATAGACGCGCTGGCATCTCTGAGGCTTTAAAATAGCACGTGCTGGCGACCCCTTTGCCTGTCTCCTGCTCATGTACATCACCATTGTTGAGCAGAGTTTTCTTTTAGCTTCCGTAAGAAAAGTCATGGTAATAAAAACAAAATTTTTTTATCAGGAACACTAATACTTTAAAACTTTTTATTTGGGGAATGCTCAAACACACGGGTACTTCGCAAAGCTTGTGGGCAGATTCGTATTATGTTATAATTCCACTTTTTTTCCACAAGCTTTCTTTTTTTTTTTTCCTTTTTGTCTTTTTTCGTGTCCGGCAACGGATTGCAACCCTCAGTGTCGCGCCCGTACCGGACCGGGACCGGCCACGGGATCGCAACCCTCAGTGTTGCACCTGCACCTCGCTCAGCCAGTGAGCAGGAACCGGTCTGTATGTGGGATCCGAACCCTCGGCGGGAGCACCGCCACGCTCCCAAGCGGCGCACTGTAGCAGTGCGCCACCGGGCCGGCCCCTCCACAAGCTTTCTGAAGTGCCCTCGTACACACACAGGCAGAGAACACCGAGCTCTCAGGTGTGCGTCTTGCAGCTCCACCCACGCGACACCTGGCTGTTCCTGATTCACCTTGTACCCTCTGGAGGATTTTGAAGCAAATCCCAGACGTTGTTTCTAAAAGACAACTTTCTGTTTTTAACATCTGCAATACCATTATCACACCCTCCTAAATAAAATTTATGTCTTTAATTTCATCAAATATCCAGTCAGTTTCAAATTTCCCCAGTTGCTTATACTTTTTTCCTGGTTGGTTAGAGTCAGGATCCCAACAAGATACGCACATTGGTGGAAGGGGTGGGCCTCACCAGGCGGGGGATGGGGCAGTGGGCGGGAGCCAAGCAGCAGAAGGGCCCTGGCCAGCCACTGCCATTGGCCCCCACCAGCCCTCCTCATGTTCCCAGGTCACCTGCCTGGCCCTATAGACGTTTGAGTCCACGGCTCCTACCCTGATGGTGATTCCGGATGAACCTGGCTTTCACGAGTGGGATGGGGTCTGGTTTTCTGCCGCTCTGGATTTGTAGAAATCATTCTCTATCCTGGTGAGAATGCACATAGCTTTCTAAAATTTCTGATAGCTGTTAGGTTAATCAATATCACTTTGCTGCTTTTGTAGGTCAAAAATGGTTGAATATTGGCAATTTCATGTAGTTCAACCTGATAAAGGGTATGGTTTAAACTTTTTAAAATGAAATAAGAAGTGTGCCTCAGTGCTGTAGTAGGGGAAGAGAACTGGGCTGGGAGCAAGCACGTGTGCAGTGGTGATCCGTACCGTACCGGGGATTGAGCCGAAGCAAACGTCTGCAGCCTGAGGTTTGAAAGGCGTGTTGGCTTTACAGTGCTCTTTTAGGGTACCTGCTCTTCTTTGTTTTGTGTGACAGCTTCTTGGAGATGTAATTCACATGCCACACAGTTCACCTGTTTAAACCGTACAAGTCTGACTTTTTTTTTTTCCTTTTTGTCTTTTTCCATGTCCGGCAACGGATCGCAACCCCCAGTGTCGCGCCCGTACCGGACCGGGACCGGCAACGGGATCGCAACCCTCGGTGTCGCTCCCGCGCCTTGCTCAGCCAGTGAGCAGGAACCGGTCTGTATGTGGGATCCGAACCCTCGGCGGGAGCGCCACCACGCTCCCAAGCGGCGCACTGTAGCAGTGCGCCACCAGGCCGGCCCCCAAGTCTGACTTTTTTAGTATATTCACAGAGTCGTGCAACTACCGCTGTAATCAATTTTAAAACATTTTCATCATCTCCATGAGGAAACCCTGTACCCATTAACAGTCACTCCCATTCCCCCCAGCCCCCTATCCCTGGGGAACAACTGAACTGCCTCTGTCTCTACGGATTTGCCTATTCTGGACATTTCATATAAATGGCATCACACAGTACGTGGTCTTCGGTGTCTTGCTTCTTTGACTTGGTGTGATGCTTCCAAGGTCCATCCACCTTCTAGCATGGTCGCTGCATTGTGGGGGTATGCCACGTTTCGTTTATCCATTCATCAGTGGATGGACAATTGGGTAGTTTCCACTTTTTGACTGTTATGAGGAATGCTGCTTTGAAATCTGTGTACAAGTCTCTGTGCGCATCTGTTTTCATTTCGCTTGGGATATTTCTCTTGGGAATATACCTGGGAGTGGAGTTGTGGGTCACGTGGTACCTCTGTGTTTAGCCTTTGGAAGAACACCGAGCTGCTCCCAGCAGCTGCACCGTCTTCCCCTCCCAGCAGGGTGTGTGAGGGTCTGCTGTCTCCACAACCTTGCCAGCTTGTTATCATCTGGCTTTTTGACTGCAGTTATCCCAGTGGATATTGTAATGCAACTTTCCAGGCAGGATAAAAGATCTGGAGAGGATAGGAAAGGGCTGTCATTTTGCTAGTGGCCTTAAATATCAGCATCAGCCATGCTCACTTTCTTTTTTTTTTTTGTCCTTTTTGTCCTTTTTGTGACAGGCCGCACCGCGCTCAGCCAGTGAGCGCATTGCACCGGCCATCCCTATATAGGATCCGAACCCGCTGCGGGAGCGCTGCTGCGCTCCCAGCGCCACACTCTCCCGAGTGCGCCACGGGCTCGGCCCAGCCATGCTCACTTTCCAAAGCTCTGGCAGAAGCCAGGTTTACAGTATGAGCTGTGACATCCCCTCGCGAGCGTCCCCACACCCACTGCTGGCTGCAGCACGTCTTTGTTTCTCTGCTGCGGCCCTCACTGGTGGGCGGTGGGAGGGCTTCGTTTCTGTGACTTGTTCCGAGAATGTGAAGTAGCCTCCCTGCCCTCCATGTCTCATCTGTTACATGCCCTTTTCTCTGTGCAGGTGTCACCATGAAGCTCATGGACGAGGTAGCCGGGATCGTGGCTGCACGCCACTGCAAGACCAACATAGTCACAGCTTCCGTGGATGCCATTAACTTCCATGACAAGATCAGAAGAGGTAAAACTCTTCCGACACAGAGCAGGGAGGGGGGCCCTTCTGGCTGCTCAGGTCCCTTGCACCAGTTTGCTTTCTGTGCACATCAGAGGCGTGGTGTCTGCCTGTTTTCCAGAAGCAGAAAGCCGACATTCTGTGCTTTGTTCCTGCTGATCCGTCTGTTAGGCTAGTGTGTATTAATTTGATTTTTCAATCTGGTATATCTGTCAGATGTGTTTGGGGACTTTAGCCTCCTAAAGACCAGCATAAACTCATCCTTGTAATATGCCCTGTGAACAGACTTCTGTGACGATCCTGTGCACAAGGTTGCTGTGACCATTGCCACCAAACCTGCGGCAGGCACATTGTATTTCTGGGGAGGACTAAAGAGTCCGTGACGTGGGTAGTGGCAGGATTAATACAGAAAAACCCAGGCAGCCCCCTCCTTGGCTGGCCCTGCCGCATTACCCAGGCAGTGTTTGTGTCTGTTAGCTTTTCCCAGGATGGAAATCCAATCCCAGCGACCCGGGCCCCTCCGGGAAACGGTGCCTGCTGTCCCAAGGTGTTCTCGCCCCCAGGGAGGCGAGGCCTCCGCGGCGTGTGCGAGCATGGTTCACTGCACTTGTCTCACAGTGTTGCCGTCTGCAGATGTAAAGCGAGGTCCCCTCCCAACACGTGGATATTTCTATTTCTGTCAAGTCTCCTGAGATGAGGCTCTGCGGCTCCTGAAAGGCAGCACTTCCTTGCGGGACTCAGGAGGGGGTGTCAGAGTTGCCACAGCCTAGCATTGATTCAGAAGGTGCCTCCCTGTGAAAGCAGCTCATTGGAGGAGCTGTCAGGAGAGACTGTCCCCTGCTGTGGGAGGTGACAAAGTAGAAGAAATGCAGCTGGCTCTCCTTACCGTGCCCCTTGCCCACCAGAGCCTGAGTTGTGGGGCCTCGGAGGCCTGATGCAGACCTTCTGCGGCCCTCTCCGGCCGGCAGCTGAGCGTCCAAGTGCTGGGAAGCAGCATCCCGAGACGGTGGGAGCTGTGTCAGTGAGAGCAGTGAAGCTTAGCCACGTTGGTTTCGGTGGTTTTAGAGGAGGACGGTCTGCAGCATCGCTCCCCACCCCTTTGCAGAATCCTGACTGATGAGCTATCACCACAAATGCAGGCCGCAGCGTCGTTTTCCAATTTGCCCAAAACAAGTGGGTCTTGTCTGTTTTAGCTCGTCCTCCGGGAGCCTGGAGTATAACGTGCTCTGAGCTTTGCGTGCTGCAGTGGGCCACCCTTTGGGAAAGGGAGAATCCATCGCGTCATGATCCTGTGCCTCTCTTTTCCTACAACACCTGCCTGGGTAAATTTCGATGATTAGGGCTATGCTGTTAAAAGCAGATTCGAAATCCACAGTGGAAAATGCGCTTACATTCCATAATACTCGCTCTGCTCAGGTGTCCCCCAAGTGTCCTTTGAGGACCACTAAGAAAAGAAACAGGTGTCCCTAGACAGCCAGCCGGCTTCCCGAACATCAGCTGGTCAATGAATGTTCTTTTCAGTTCAACGAAGCACTCAAAGAATGAAAAGTTAGCCTTTGTCAGAAATGAAGTCATGAAAAGGGACGTCCCTTCCAAACTTGTCACCCTCGGTTGCTTATACCACCAGAATTAACTTTCAAGGGGGAGTTGAAGGTGGGGTTCTGGGTCAGTAGGAATGATTAATTCTGAAGGAGAACCATGAGCTGAAGTTGGAGTCTGGCGCTTTTTCTGGGGATTAATTTAGCAACCTAGAAGACCCCCAGGGCACCTTGTACGGGAGCTGCTTTGATGGAGACCTTTCGTTTCTGAACGGTTACATTTATTCTAAAGCACAGAGAAGGGGACCTCCATTCTCAGAACCGTCATTTCTGGCAGCACGTCCCTCTGTGGACCGGCTTCCTCCGCGTGGCGATTGTGCGGGGCGGGCTGCTGGGCTGCTGGCTGCTACCATCGGGAGTTGCTGTGGCCCTGAGCCCCTCCGCGAGGCTGGCCAGAGCCCCCCGCGGCCCCCAGCCAGCCTCCCTCGGTGGCTGTCACAGCCGCGACCTCAGGGGCTCCTGGCCCAGGGATTCACTGGGGGAAACGTGTGGCTCCTCACAGGGAGCAGAGAGATTGTGGCTGTTTTCTCAGGTGACTTCTTGTTTTGCATATAGAGGAATTTGGGCCAAACAGTTATGGGGTCTGGCCTGTTTTGGGGCCAGTGTCCTCCAGGGGCTGCAGACACTGTCACACCTCTTGTGTGGTTTTCCTGAGGAATGTCACTGAGTGAAGGTGTTGGCGCTTCCTCTCCACCCGAGAGCCCGCCCAGCTCATTTCTGAGCAGTCCTGGAGGCCTCAGAGACAGGACTGTGACGTTTTGTCATCAGTCCTGCGGGGCGGAGGGCAGAGCCTCTTGGGGCGCTGCCTCCTGGACTGGCAGTTTTCCTCCTGTGGTTTGGCCCCTGCATAGGCAACGCAGAGTAAGGCGGGCCGAGGCCCCAGGTCCCTACGACATGTGGCCAAGCGTGGCAGAAACTTCACGAGGAGGAGGGGTTGACGTTCCCACCTCTGCTTGATTTTCTGATGTGATTCTGCTGAGGTCACTGCAAACCCTCGCGCCTCAGCTGTGACATGATGGAAGCCACAAGGGCAGACCCCGCCGCCCCCAGCCGAGGGTGACGCACCACCATGGTGGACAGCATGAGGCACTTCCGCAGAGCCCGGGACCTGCCGGGGCCCTGGAACCTCGCCCAGAGTTTGTGTGGCACCTGCTGTAAAGGATGGTGTTTCTGGGCTGCGGCCACAAAAGACTGTACACTGACGGCTTAAAGCAACAGAAACTTGTTCTCTCCCACTTCTGGAGGCCAGAAGTGCAAAATCAAGGTGTCAGCAGGGCCACATTCCCTGCAGAGACATTCACGGAAAACCTGTCCTTGCCTCTTCCAGCTTCTGGTGACTCCAGGTGTTTCTCGACGTTGCTTGGCTTGTGGCCACGTCACTCTGATCTCTGCCTCCACAGCCACAGGGCTCTCTTCTCACTGTACCTCTGGGTGTCCCCTGTGTCTTAAAAGGACACTCCTGGTGGGATTCAGGGCCCACCTGGGTAATTCAGGATGATCTCATCTCAAGACCCTTACCTTAATTACATCTGTAACGATCTTTATTCCAGTTAAGGTCACACTGAGGTTCTGAGTGGACATGAATCTTTGGGAGGCCACTGTTCCCCCCTCTACAGATGGTTTCTCCCTTGAAAGCTTAGTTCTTGTAGACGCAAGGTCACTTTCACTCTTGCAAAAGCTCAAAGTTGATAAAATCTCCTCTGCACCCTGAGCTCCCTCTTCCCATACCTTCTGTCCACGTGGATGAGAGTCCTGCAGAGAAGTTGGTGTTTAGCTCAGAGAAGGAGCTGTTCTGACGGTTACAGGAGTGGCCCAAGCAGGCCCCCAAGGGCCCCCAGCTTTGAGAAGAGCAGTCATACAGCCAGGCGGGGCGCCGGCCCTGGAGAGTAGCCCCACTGGAGCAAAACTGAGAGGCTCCGTGCTCACCAGGCCGGGGCTGCTGACGAAGTGCCAGTGTCGTTCCTCTGAGTGGCAGGAAGACAGGCACAGCCCTGAAACGGGAATGTGCAAGAAGTGGCCAGAGGCAGAGGTTTCGTCGTGAAGAGAAGAATAATTGCATAGACTGAAGAGTCGCTGTTCTTTTCGCTGGGGCAGCGTAAGGATTATTTTTAAAATAGGGATTTTTTTTTTTTTTAAAAGATGACCAGTAAGGGGATCTTAACCCTTGACTTGATGTTGTCAGCACCACGCTCTCCCAAGTGAGCCACGGGCCAGCTCCAAGTTTATTATTTATTTATTTTTTTAAATAAGGATGTTTTCATGGCACAGGTGCCAGCAGGTGGCCCAGATACACCCAGGTGGATGGAGCCTGAGGGCACCATGGGGCTGTGCCCACGGGCAGGCAGCTATCCATGGCCAGTGTCTGATTGGGCAGTGCTTGAATGTCCCTGGCCACATCCCGTCTCTTAGACACACAGCCCAGGAGGGGCCTTTCCCTCCCCAGCACCACCACACATGAGCTGCTGGTCCTCCTGGGGGACCCCCACCTGCCAAAGGCTGATCTGCCACAGTGGGGAAAAGCCCAGAAATTAAAACACGTTGCCAGCCAAACATGCCCTCTGTGTATGAGTCTCCTGTCACTGCTATACCAAATTACTACACACTAGTGGCTTCAGATAACACAGATTCATTCTCCTTGAGTTCTAGAGGTGTGACGTCTCAAATAGATCCACGGGGCTGCATTCCACCTGGAAGCTCTCAGGAGATCATTTCCTTGCCTTTTCCAGCTTCTACAGGCCGCCTGCCCCGTCCATCCTGGCCTCGTCCGTCCTCCAGCCTCCATCACCCTGTCTCCTCCCTCTTATACAGACCCTTGTGATTACACTGGGACCGTCACCCGGATGATCCAGCATAATCTCCCCATCTCCAGCGCCTTCATTTAATCACATCTGCAAAGTCCCTTTCGCCACATGAGGTCACATGTCCACAGGTTCCATGGATTAGGAAGTGGGCATCTCTGGAGGGGCCATTATTCCATCTTCGCAGATTGAAAGTGACTTTCTGACTTGCCCATTTCAGCGTATTTTATTAGACAAACAGCTGGAATGGAGGCGAAGCCGGACCTTCGGGGTGACCAGCATGTTCAGATCTAAGGCAGGAAGTGCTCTGTTTTGTCTTTGTTTTATCAGAAGAGCAGTCCTTTGTATGGCATCAGCCAAGTGCCAGGCCATTGGCTGTGGCCTCACCTGTTGCTCATGTGCGGCGTCCATCAGGAAGTGACCCCTGTAGTTTCACAACATCAAGACATTGTCCCAGAAGGTCAGAAGGAAACTTTGGGTCTCAGCCATGAAGGCATGTGCTGAGGAGGGACCCAAGCTCCCAAACACAGGGCGATTTCTAGGGCCAGGAACAGCCTTACAGATGGCCGCTGAGGCTGCTGCCGTCCTTTGGTTGGCCTGGCTCTAGCTGTTT